TTACATTTCGACGGCACTATCGGCTTGCTTCAACAGCCTCGAAAATATTGAAAATGATACCCAAGATAAAAAATTGATACCCATTGCAGCCGCCATCTTGGATTTACATTTCGACAGCACTATCGGCTTCAACACCCTCGAAAACCATGAAAATGACACCCATGATGAAAAAATTTATACCTATTGCAGCCGCCACCTTGGATTTACATTTCGACAGCACTATCGGCTTCAGCACCCTCGAAAACCATGAAAATGACACCCATGATGAAAAAATTGATACCTATTGCGGCCGCCATCTTGGATTTACATTTCGACAACCCCATCGGTTTCAACACCCTTGAAAACCATGAAAATGTCACCTATAACAAAAAAAATTATACTACTTACTTTTAGTACGTACTACTATTATTTATTCTGTGCTTTTAAAATATTGTATTAAAAAAATCTCTTATTATTATTATAATCAAGTATTTAAGAAATTTGGTTATTCGAATATTGTGTATTTGTACAGCGATCTTTTTGAGCCGTTGCAAACAACCGAAACAATGTCCACTCACGACGGCGACTGAAGTCGAATGTGGGCCGAACTAAACTACTCTGTGGCTGTAGCTCCCCATTTACAGAAATAATTTACATACAAGGCTACCAAATCAACGAAAATTTCGCCATTTTGGAGCCGAAAAAAATTAATTATAGCTAAATAAAACAAAATTACACTGCCATTTACATTCAATGACTTCCCACATGATAGATGAAGAGATTAAAAAATAGATTGAGTTAAACAATTGATATTTTCAAAAGTTATCGTGTTTACAAGCCACAGGGACATGATAAATCCACACCATAAGCCACCAAAACCCTTTTTTTTATTTAAAAATAGCAATTAATCGATTTAAAAATATATTAATAAGTTCAACAATCATTTATCTTTCTAATAATGTGCTTTTTATATCATTTATATGTATAATATGATTGCTAGATACGATTTTATTCGATAAAACGTTGGAATCTTAATTTTTAGGCGATAGTAGAACATACCTTGCGCTTTCGCTTAAGGTATGCAATTGCTATAAGGTTTTGATCAGGCGAATATTTTTTCTTCGATAATATTTTAAACATAATTTTACTTAAGAATAATTTTGTTTATACAATTTTAAAAGAATTTTCATAGAACCAGCATGGTGGCGATCACCTTATTCCCAGGGGTTATTTTCATTCATGTATTCCTTGATATTATAATAACCCTTTTTGTACAGTTTTTCTTTAATAAAACTTTTAAACTTGTTTATTGACAAACTTTGAACATGTTCTGGGATTTTGTTGTAAAAGCGTATACATTGCCCCATAAATGAATTACTAATTCTGTGGAGTCTAGTTACTGGCATTACAAGCTTATGTTTGTTCCTAGTGTTTAAGGTATGAACATCCTTATTCTTATTAAAGCTATTTATGTTTTTATGTATATACATTACATTTTCATAAATATAGTTATAGTACTTTGACACTGCTGCCCGATCATACTGCAATCTATCGTATACTATAATAATTTTTGGCATTAGACATAGTCGCCTTACGACACCCACGGGACAAAATAAAATAAATATTCTCTTACGCTGTCGTCAAAAGGCCGATGCTTAACGAAGAGGTGATTTGTCAATTAAACGTTTTTCCTTGCTGACTGGCGATAGATAAGTCGATGACTTTAAAACAATGAATTGCAATTCTTGCCCATCGATAACAACTAGAAATAGGCTGCTCTGGTTGTGGTCGTCACCGTGTCTGTACCTGCATTCTAACCTAACCCGCGCACAAAAGGTTGAAACCATGACAAAGTGCAACGTTTGGTTTTGCTATGAAGCGTTGTTAGCGGGCGAAAAGCGGTCGCCAAAGTGACAGGATATCAATCGGCACACCTGCTCTCGAGCTATATATTTGTGGCATGGCATACCACTTGCGCAGCCAACGGCTTACTGCAGCATTCGAAAGTTGGGACCTTGGTGTAATCTCAAGATGGACATCTCCCCTGGGAACTACGTAGGAATGTCTCGGTGCCAGTGTGTAGTTCTCTAGTTATCATATCGAAATATAGCAGCTGTTACAATTTCAATTAGAATGTCTTCATTCATACGTCACGGTTATTAATATACACTTATTTGTAAACAACAGTGTGCCTCTCTCATAGAATTATTACAATTTTACAAGTGTACGAATTTTATTATATTTTTTACGTGGTAGGTTCACGCTTGGGTCGGCTTGACCGAGGTAGGACCACGCTCTCACAGTCTACCATCAGGTGAACTATGTACTCGTTTGTCACCATTGAGTTATATGTACTACGTACTAGAGAAGCCATTCCAAACAAAAATTGTGTCCTACTCTATGTCTTCGCGCATGCACGGGAGTAGTAATCGCGCATGCGCGTAGACTTTAATTTAATATAAAATAAGATATTAATATAAAATAAATATAAGAATTTAATATAAAATCTCTTAATTTCATCTAAAGAAACAGGTTATATGTCTAAATAAAATGTAATAATAATTATTTTATGGAATTCACAAATCTTCAATTTACGCAATATTTAGTTTGTACGGATTGCACTACAGTTCAGTTGAACATAGTCAATGTTCGGAATGGCTTCTCTAGTACGTAGTACATATAACTCAATATTTGTCACCCTTATTCTATATTCTATTATAACAGGACTAGGATTCGGACAGACAAAAACAAATAAAAATAAATAAAAGAAATAGGTTGATGGACAGCAACATCTTCCTAATAACAACTTAAAATAATAAAAACCCGCTTGCCAAGCGCGCGGCAACTTTGGCAAATACAGTATTAGTCTATGGGAGAATGTTCAGCAGTGGACTTACATAGTGGATAGAGTGGGTAATGGTGATGACATGGGAAATAACAATTTCAGGGACCAAACTCGAGTTATAGCATACTATGAAATCTAAAGGAAGTGCCCAGCCCCTCAGCTATCACGTATATATGCTTCAAGAAGAAATCCTCCGTGCTCCATGAAGTGGTACGGGCACCACTCGGTATATCCTACGCGACTAGCGAGGCCAGAGTATAAAAAAATAAAGGGAAAAATAAGAAAGTCTTGTTTCGGCCATAATAAAATATAATCGTCGGTTTATGTTGAGTATCAAAACAAAATTTACATTAAGTAATTGTTTTATGTACATTTAACTAAATTACAATTACTGTACAAATCGAATACACATAACATATTTTGCTATTTACTAAAATACCTAATAATGAAAAGTTTGTGATCAAAATTGTGTCTTTGTTTTTATTACGACGCTTGTGGCCATGTACTCAAACGCTACTCAATTTCAAGATGGTGTTAAGTCTCATGCTGTCTCTATCACTTTAAGTGTAAGTGACTAAGACACCACGAGACTCAACGGCGTGTAACGTTTGTGCATTTGGGTTTTATACAGTAAAGTTATAAGTTATAACTATTTATAATTTGTGACGAACAAAGGTGACAATTAAAAATTGGGATACAGCAGATGGTACAAAATATTTATCTTGAGTGATAATGTATTATTTTTTGTATTATTTTTTTGTAAAATGATTTAACGAGTAAAGTCGTCATGGTCTTAATGATAAAAACTCAAATTTTTATTTACTACTTAAAGCCATTTTCAGTCAGTTTTTTTTAAAATAATAATAAATTGTCAAGCACTTTTGTTGTGGAAGGAAAGTCATTTTTGTTCTAAATATCAGATCTTGACATAGTAAATGAAACTTTTTAACACTTTATAAATTACGCATTTGAATTCGTACTTGTAAAATATGTTTCGGGTCGTATTATTTATTTAGATGTACGTTTTACAGTATGTAATATTGTGAAATTTATAAATATCTTTAAAATACCTTAATAAGTACACACTGTAATAATTTTGCAACAGTTTTAGAAGATTTTTTTAACACAAATGCTCTTAATAAACTTGTAAAACCATACTTTAAACTGTATATACAGACTATATGTTTAGTACGTAATAACATAGTCTAACTACCAATAACGAATATACATAAGTCAAACGTTACATGTAACAATTTTAGCACAATATAAAATATTTATAAATCTTTGTAGTATCGATTAAGGCACTTCTATTCTTAAAATGTATATTTAATCTATTTTTAGCTTTGGGAAATTCTTGAGACATACACATCTATCCATACTCAACTGTTATTTAAAATAATAATTCAACAATTTAAAGTAGATCCCATATTGTCTTTATTACTTGGCATTTTCGTAGGTTTTGATTTCAAAACGTCTTTGTCTATGATACCTTAGAATCAGTCTTCAGTGTAGCCATATCGCATAATCGCATCTCCTAAGAGAATAATCGCTTTTCATAGGAGATCTGATAAAATTTGAAAACTATTTAAAATGTCATAATTTCATTTTTTCCAAGGAAATACCAATTATATTTAATCACAATAATTTCACAATTTAGCATCTAATTTTTAATGATATAAAAATATATTTCATTTAGAGCAATCAGCTTTACCTCTTACAATTATAAATACAGATACGTCAACTTTGCTCAAAAATATGCTATATATATAAGTTTTACAGTACTCAACAATAATTTATCTAAATTTATTATAAGATGTTCATGATGAAACAAATTTTAGGAACGTGGTTTTATGGAATGATTAGACGTTAAGGTCTAGACGCAAGAACTCACTCAAGTTTTCGTTTCAATATCCGAATGACATCTTTTTTTTTAAATTAAGTATTATAAGCCAGTTCTTGACTACAATGTCAGTTTGTTTTTAAACTACAAGAAGTAATGTATACAGATTGTGCCTATTTTTATAAAGAGCCAATCAAAACTAGAGTAAAAAAAAAGATGCTGTTTTGAGGCGACAGTATCCACATGATACTCTTCGTATACGATAGCATGCAGCTGAACAAGTTCCTTAAATCAGCGATGGTCTAAGACTAAGACATCTTAATTCACTTTTCAAGTTTAATTAAGGCAACACAATTTCTTCCAGAAGGGTCTTTTGGTTTGTATTACAGGCAATCCTGCTAAGATGGCAGCGTCAAAGGCATCTTTCAGTTGCTTTCGCGTTTTCGCCGATGTTTCTATGTACACGGCGTTTATTTTTGTAGCCAAAGCTCGTGCTTCCATCTCTGTGACTACATGTTCGCCGCGAGTCTGAAATGAGAAGATTTTTTTTTAAATCAATGGCTTCTATTCCGAACATATTAGTAAAATACGTCAGTAATATGTACTGCAAGTTTAAATGTTTTCCGTGTAATCCTTTTGTTTCCTAACCAATTTTTACCTCTGATTACAGAACTCACTACAGAAGGGGGTATATGCCAGTAGTAGTTGGGAACACTAAGCTCGAAGTTGTTGACGAGTATGTTTACTTGGGACTTACCTAGTGTAAGTCTAACTTCGACCGAGAGGCCAATCGACGGAGTCAACTCGGCTGGATAGCGTTCGGTAAATTACGACATATCTTCTCGTCAGGTATACCTCAAAACTTAACGACGAGAGTGTACAACCAGTGCGTGTTGCCAGTGTTGACTTACGGATCTGAGACGTGGTCTTTCACTGCTGGCCGTATGAGGAAGCTCAAGGTCGCTCAGCGAGCTATGGAGAGGGCTATGCTCGGGGTTTCTCTGCGTGATAAACTTAGAAATGAGTATATCCGCAGTAGAACTAGAATAAACGACATAGCCCAACGGATTAGTAAGCTGAAGTGGCAGTGGACCGGTCATATAGCTCGAAGAACCGACAACCGATGGGGAAGAAAGGTTCTCGAGTGGTAGCCTCGTATCGATAGGCGAAGTGTAGAGCGACCCACCACTAGATGGAGTGGCGACCTGAATGTCTTAGCTGGAAGTCGATGGATGAAGGTGGCTCAAGACCGTGCTTTGTGGCATTAATTGGGGGAGGCCTATGTTCAGCAGTGGACTTGTGAAGGGATGTAATGATGATGATGAATGATGACTCCAGAAGTAGGATAATAGCTTTTTGCGCATATTATTATTTGTCGGCACGCTTTGTAGTCTAATGCCCAAATACTCAAACCCTGCTCAATTTTAAGACGCCGTTAAGTCTCGTGCTGTCTCTATCACTTTTAGTCAAAGTGACTGCGATACCACGAGACTTAAAGACATCTTAAAATTCTTTGTTAGTTTTGTCTTGGTTGTGGAAGTGACTTTTTTTATATTCTACTAAGCCAGCGCTTATCTACGATCCCACGTGATGGCAAGTGGTGATGTAGCCTAAGTTGGTGAAGCGTACTGACTTAACAAAAGCCTATTCACTCTTGCCTTGAATCACACAGTAATCGGATGGAAAGACAGATGCTGGCAACTTATTCCACTCCTTTGCGTTTGGTTCGAATGCGTGGTAAGTGAACAACGAAAGGGTGGAGACTGGCCGAACGTCTGGTTGTCCAATAGTGGAAAGTAGAGGGAGGAATTAAATTATGCAATTCCTGCGCACACTCTCCGAAATGCATCCTGTAGAAAACTGAAAGGCTGGCTACTTTGCGTCTGTGTTCGAGGCTGGTAAGATTGGTTTTAACCAAATTCGGTTCACCAAAAAGCCTTTTAGCACGCCTTTCCATTGAGTACAAAGCTGCTAGGTGGCATTTTGCAGCACCAGCCCATATATGGCAGCAATACTCCATGCACGACCGAACTTGCGCTTTATATAAAGTAAGCAGCTGTCCCGGCGTGAAGTATCGCCGCACGCCGCCGCTTTGACCTTGGGCTCAATGAACCGTCCGAAGTTCAGATTTGAGGATATCGCAAACGCTAACAACTGAAGGCGGTCGGTATATTCCAGTGATGTGTTTTGGAGGCGTTGAATTTCACAAGATTGGAATCGCCCCATTCGGAGACTGCCTGAGCCTGAGTGTGAGATTAACACGCTCTACCATAGCTTCTCTTTCGGACTGGATTTGACCCTGACTGGCCTACGACTTGATTGGAATCTCTCCACAACTGTGCTACCGTCTGCATAGTCATAAATACCGGGCATAAGCAGATCATTAATATATAGCAGGAGAGTTGCGGAGAGAACGAACCCATGAGGAACACCTGGGTTAGTAGCCATAGGATCGGATGAGCAGCCATCGACGACGACCCGGAGAGACCGTTCACTCAGAAAGTCCTTTACCCATTCAATCAGACCAGGGGATAAGCTGTACGCTGAAAACTTACGCAAAAGGCTAGTTTGCCAAACTCTGTCAAAGACCTTCGAGACATTAAGGGAAACAGCAAGTGCTTCACCACTGTTCTCCAGTCCCTCGCCCCATACATGTGTGGTATACGCTAGAAGGTCCCCAGCAGACCGATTTCGGCGAAACCCATATTGCCGGTCACTAAGGAGGTCATTCTGTTCTAGGTGTGCCATTAAGCGTACGTTCAATATACGCTCCATAATCTTGCAGAGTATGGAGGTAATTGAGATTGGCCGATAATTGGCAGGTTCGGCACGGCTGCCTTTTTTGGAACAGGCTGCACGTTGACCAGCTTCCTGGATTTTGACACTATTCCAGTCCTAAATGAGAGGCGGAATGGTATAAAATTCTTCTCTGTACAGTAAACTTTTGCACTCTGTCAAATTTTTTTTTTTATATCTGTTGATTTTTAATAACTGTTTTAACCATTGGGCTTGTATATCAAAGAAAATTACAATAATACATTATAATGGTAACCTTTATAAATCATAAATCTTTATATGTAATTATGATTATGATATAATAATTTTAACAAATGCTATAAAAAAATTTGTAAGTCATAAAAGCTACATATCAGTGTTTTACCATACATACAATTTATGTACATATTATTTTTATGTACATACGAGGGTGACACTGAAAGTTCTTAGAAAATCAAAAACTGAACAAACTTGCAAGTTATTAGTTTTAATATATCTTTTTAAAATAGTATCCATTTACATCAATACATCGCTGCATCTAATGCAATAATATTGGCATAGAGTTACATTTTCAAAATTTGAACTTATTTTTTTATTACATATATCGTTTACAAGTGGCCAGTTCTAAAAACTTTCAGTGTCGCCCTCGTATTTAGTAAACTCTTGTTATATTTAATCAGTTTAAGAATAACACCTAGGACAAGTTTGTTTGGGTTCAAAATAGAATATAGCAGTGGGGACACTGCTGTTAATGGCAGAAATAGGAAAGAGGGAATACCAATACAGACGGACTAATAATTTTTTAAAGCACGTTTGTAATCATTGAGTATAATCGCACTGAAATTTAATACGCAAAATCTAACCAATTTGTGACGGAAGTCATGGAGATCGTGGTAGAGTCAAGCTGCATAAAAGTGGTAGAGCCATGCTGCAGCTATATTATGGTTGTGGCACGAATGAATCGACTTGACCGGGGAAGGGCCACGCTCTTACAAAATACCAGCGTAAAAACTAGACTAAACTGTGCTGTGTTTCGTATGGTGGGTGTAGAGAACCGGAGACCCTTTTTAGTGGAAACGAGGCATCTTAGTCCTCAGGGGTGGCAAAGCATCTGCATTTTGATTATTAATCGAGATCAGGTGAACTGTGTGCTCGTGTGTCACCCATATTTTATAACAAAAAGAAAATAACAATACATATATCCCTTGGTCTGGTTCCTTCAAGATATCGCTATCGGTTATAGTAGAAATTGGTAAGAGGTAAGAAAAACAAGGAGAAGAAAGGAGCTACAATACCTTATTAATCTAATTATTATAAATAATAATTAAAGTCAATATATTAAACCAATAAGAAGTACTTAGTATTCTCACTAGGATGATCAAGGCTCATGGTGAATGCATGTTCTTTAAGATTTTTTAAACTGATATTAATTAATAATACTAAACTAATATTATGCTATGAAACAGGTACCTGGCAGTGTTAAGCACTAATAAGTCATGATCAGTATTGATTGCACTGTACTTGACGCTTAGAAATTGCAGATCGTCTGGAAGTTAGTAAAAATTTATAAACTTCCAATACATAGATACAGGTGAAACTGATAAACACTTATTAAAACCGTAACAAACCACTAGAAATGGTTTTCAAGGTTTATTATTGTTAAAATATAATATACAAATTAAAAACAGCAACGTGGTAGCAAAATATTCTTATTTTTTTCTATGCGTATCAAAGACGGATATCGTGTTATGCAATATGGGTAACAGTATAAATCAAAACCGATTATTATTATTGCATCAGACCCGATATGGACCCGCATAACCCGTATTGGCTGTCAGATGCTATCATCACAAGAAACATTGCCGTGAAAAGAAAGCTTGGGTAAGATATTAATGATTAAATTTCTTACACTAAAATACGGCTGTCAAAAAAGGTTTTTGTAATTACGAAAAAAATTGTTTTTGTTTTTGGTACATTTTATCTATGCAGGGGGAATAATGTTATCGAATAATATATTTTTGATACATATTATTTGATAAGGTAACTGAAATAAAGACGAATTTATTTGTAGTACTGAATAGGATTTTGCTTAAAGGAGCAAAAGAAACAAAAGACCAATATAATTTATCCTGTGGTCCATTATTTATGTTGTGCTGGGGTTAAGAATATATTGCGATCGCTCTGAATCGATTCTATTAATATTGACTCTGCAAGCATCTACTGTGGTAATACCAAGGTAACTACATTATATACAGAAACGTTGTAGGTACCCAGGGAGGTGGAAGTGTCTGGTTCTGTAATCACCAATCCACCTGAAAAGCGTTGCCATTATTGAAAAATCTTTCTATAAAGGGAGAGCTCCACGTCCAGCTTAGGAATAGTAGAGGTATATCGAAGAATTAAAAGCCACGACTTAAGAAGCTATTATGTGGGAAGTATGATTTTTTTAGTTTTTATATCAGTTTTTGCTTTTTTTTTTAAGTTTAACTTTTTATTCCTTTGATTTGTAGGAAGAAGAAAGAAAGACCAACTGACCATCACACTACATGGAGGAACTTATAAATTCGTACAAATTACATTAAATAAAACAGGTAATTAAGCAGTTGTGTGCTGTTGTTCTATGTAATGTCACAGTTATATGGAAACAACTAGAATGCCGTATAAAAAAAGTACTAAAAATGTAACTAACAGTACATAAATATTATTACGAGCTTGGGGTTCGAGACAATTAAAAACTGCCGAGTGAATTGCCAAAATCGACACTTTAATCACAGAGCACTAATTACAACTTAAACCACACTAATAATAAAACACAATTGTACTACTGATCACTATAGTTCGCAGTTGTATCGCTTCGAAGTATTCGCTTATATCGCCGAGATAATTCTTCCACTCGGTCGCGGTCTGTACCGGCCTTATATAGGGCCTCAAATAGTTTCCAAAACCTTCTACTGTAGAAACATCTAGAATGTTCGATAACATATCGGTCCCGAAATTTCTAGAAGGATCTTGACTCTCCTAGTTCTGCTACTCGATAATAGAGGGCGCTAGTGGTAACTAGTGTAGCCATGTACAAGACATTAATAGTGGCGCGCAACAATATTTTTATCCTCTATTTTCCTACCAAAGATGGACATTTTTTTTTCAAATTGTTATAGGACCACCTCTGAAATATAACTTATTTCATAAAAGGATTTAAATCGGTTGAGCCGTTACCGAGGTACCCAAAACACACGCGTAGAATATAGAACCTCTCGTTTTTAGAACTCAGCTGGTAAGGGATCTATACCTTTAATGCTTGTATAATTTTTCCTTCCAAGGCAAGGTCGCTTTGTGTGCCGACCAGTATTAAGGGCGCGTTTACACCAGCGACAGCCTTCGTCCACCTCTCCGCGACTGATCGGAACGTCTCAGGACGCACCACGGAGAAACACAGCATCAGCACGTCTGTTCCCGGGTAGCAGAGGGCTCGGAGCTCCGACATCGAGTCCTGGAAACAATTATCAATAATATAAATAAAATTTGAAACTTGTTTATATTTTCTGCCGACTTCCAAAAAGGAGACGGTACTCAATTCGACTGTATTTTTTTATGTGTGTTACCTCATAACTTTTTACTGGATGTACCGATTTCGATGATTTTATTTGTAAGCTGGTACTTCTCGTGTGGTCCCATATGAATTTGATCAAGGTCAGGCCAATAGTTTTTGAGTTATTCTTAATAACTTATATTGAAGTCGGCTGTACAAAATTTTAAATTATTATTATCAATATTACGATATTTGCCATAGTTGCCACGCTTGGCAAGTGGGTTAGCAACCGCAGTTTTTTTTAGTCGAGGGAGACGCTGCTGCCCATCTCTTGATTTGTTTCACTTTGTCGCCACTTACGACACCCACGGGATATATAGCGTTGTGGATATTCTTACACCGCCACCACACATTATATAAAAACATAAACTCATCATTCTCTAAACCATTTCCCATTATCTGGGGTCGGCGCAGTAAATCTTTTTGTTCCATTCCTCTCTATCAGCCGTCATTTCCATACTTACTCCTTTCATTCTCATATCACTCTTCACACAATCGATCCATCTTTTATTCGGCCTTCCTCTGCCCGTGTGTCCCTCCACATTCATATTCAACACTCGTTTTGTGACATGACTTTCATTCCTCCGCATCACATGCCCAAACCATGCCAATCTGCTTCCTCTCACCTTTTCTACCACTGGCGCTACTTTCAGGCTTCCTCTTATATACTCATTCCTTATCTTATCCATCCTTGTCACACCACACATCCATCGTAACATTCTCATTTCATTCGCATGCAGTCTATTTTCATCCTTCTTCTTGACGGCCCAGCATTCACTTCCATACATGACGACAGGTCGGATGATCGATTTGTAAATTTTCCCCTTCAGCCTTGTTGGCATTCGGGGATCGCACGTTGTGGCTGTGACCTGTCGCCATTTCATCCACCCTGCGTTAATCCTATGCTGCACAGCTCTATCTATTCCGCCGTCGCCTTGAAATAAACTATTGAATTATATTTAATTATTAGGGACTCGCTCGGGCTTCCCCTGGGATCTATTATAGCTATAGCTTCTATGTAGCGTTTTTAGATGTAAGATACAAATGTTTTTTTTTAAATATCTAAGATTTTCGGATAAAATATAGCTTACATCATTCCTGGAGTTGCTCTCTATCTGTTCGTGGAGTTTCATTACAATGATTAGACCGGACAGACAGCCAGACAAAAATTTTAAAATTGTTTATTTATGTGTTATAACAGCATGCAAATAACTCCCTGAGCTAAATAGAACCCAGTCATTTCAATATTACAGATAGACGCTTCAATTTTATTAATTTGTATAATAATACAGAACAGCAAAAATATAATTTCGTTACACTCTCACGATGCGACACTATTTATCGCGGGTTCATTGGGCGTAAATTAAACGCAAACGAAAAATCCCACAGGAAAAGATCACATTCATTTTTAGAGAGTTCGTGCTAACAAATATGAGATCTCGTAGTTTGGTGAAAGTCTATTCATTCCATTCAATTGTAGCAACATTTATGGACGCTCGTGATAGAGCTAATTCTTGCGCAATCTTTAGATAACTTCAACTAACAGATGTACAAAGCATCTGCTTACGCGAGCTCACCTTTTCCGTTTCTTTACGTTACGAATTTGTAATTAGAACGTTTAAATTTAAAGTTATTTTAGTGTCGTGCCTCTACTACGAGTACATTATTTTGTATACGTGGTTTGGCTACGTTGCAGCTATATTATGGTTGTACCACGAATGGGACGGCTCAACCGGGGAAGGACCACTCTCTCACAGAATACCAGCTTAAAATAGCAGACAAACGAGCATACAGCCTATCTTATGGTAAATGGATGATTAATAATCAAAATACACCTGACTCTCAACCTCTGAGGATGTTGTCACCCCTAAGGACTAAGATGGAAAGCCTCGTGTACAGTGAAAAGGGTCTCCGGTTCTCTACACTCACCATACAAAATACCGCAGCATTAAGCTGCTATTTTACGCTGGTATTCTGTGACAACGTGGCCCTTACCCGGTCGAGCCGAACCATTCGTGCTATAACGATGAAATAGCTACAGCGTAGCTCAAGTATATCCTTTTTTGGCTGGTGTTTTTCATACATATATAAACTAAAATAAAAAATGGAGGTTAACACTTCCATTTTTAATTATATTATGATTATGATATATGTGACATGATGTTTCACACCTAATGTGTAATAACGTTATCTTCATAACAATAAAATTACATAATTACTACGTATAGTCGTACTCGATCGTCACCTTTACTCTGGTATATACGGTACTTACACGGTTATATAATTACTGGCGATTGTATACGGCAAAAAGTCGGGAAACTTAAAAGATTTGGCGTTTTTATTTTAATATTGTTCAGAGAACTATATTATAATAATGCCAGTTAAAAACTATGCCTGTATTGCAAGCCAGAAGAAAAACAAATCACGCCTTCAAACGCGCTGTTATCAATGTTAACTGTATTTTTTGTCTAGTAATATATTTTTTGGCTGACAAACAATACTGTAATTTCACTTATTATTATTATTATAAAGCCATTTATTCCTCAACAAAATTATTAAAATATATTTCATTAATTATTAATTTCATTAAATAATTTAAAATTAGAAACAAAATTTATAACAATCGGATCATGAAAAAAATACATTTAAATAAGATAAAATTATCGTTACAATAAAAAATGACTATCCACTTTTTGACACATATTTAATGAGTTTTTATTTATCTAATTATTGTTAAGGACCTCTCTACAAGTACATAGGCCTCCTCCAGATTTTTCCATTTTTTCCCTATCCTTGGCCACTGAAATCCAATCGTCTCCAGTAATTTCACTTATGACACTTTTTTTATTCCCAGGGTTCGATTCCCGTCTTGTTCCTCGCGTGCAGGGTGATATTTATCGTGAGCGCTTAGCTCATAAGCTACCAACACTTATATTATTAATATATTGCTTTTATGGTTAAATATTGATAGATTATAAAAACATTAACTACATACAAAGAAAACATTTTAAATGTAACCGCCTTTCTTCAAATAGTTCTTATATATATTTAGAATTACTATAAAATATATCTTTTACCACTGGCTATATCGAATTCTTATAAATACTAATTCTTAAAAAAAACTTTACGAAACAAAAATGAAAATACGACCTGTTTTAGACCGGGTACCATTCCAGCTTATCAAAGGTCAACAGCTGAACGTAAGCCTCCCCAATTATAACCATATATGCCATGGTAGCACGCTTGATAACCGAGTTGGCACTTACAATTTTTGAAATGCCTCGTTTACACGTGGTAGAGCCATGTAGCAGCTATATTAGTAGTATAGTTGTAGCACGAACGGCTCGACCGGGGAATGACCACGCTCTCACAGAATACCAGCGTCAAATAGCAGCTTAACACTGCTGTGTTTCGTATGGTGAGTGTAGAGAACCGGAGACCCTTTTTACTGGATAAGAGGCATTCCATCTTAGTCCTTACGAGTGACAACGCATCTGCATCTTGATTCGCAGACGAGGATAGATGTAGATGTCTATGGACCACAGCAACCACTTACCATCAGGTGGACTGTGTGCTCGTATGTCACTCGATCTTATATAAAAAATAAATAAAAACAGTCTCCGGTTCTCACCATACGAAACACAGCAGCATTCTGCTATTATACGATGGAATTCTGTGAGAGCGTCGTCATACCCCAGTGGAGCCGATCCTTTCGTGCTACAACCATAACATAGCTGCAGTGTGGCTGTTATCAGGAAGGTACTGCTGCCCATCTCCTAGTTCAGTTTCCGTAAGTCGCCTCTGATGACACCTACGGGATGATATGGGTAAGTGGATATTTATTTATATTTTTATATTTATTTTTACGCCGTATATTTAAATTATTTATTAAACTTCATACATTACGATGTATAGACGGACTTAATGCCCGAGGCATTTTCTACCAATCAAATGGAAACAATATTTGTATCAGTTTTGCGTCTCAAAATTTGTTTATTATTCATTAACAATGTAACAAAAAAGAAGGTAACTAATCAATTCATTTTGAACATTAAGGGATAAGCCGTTATGGCAAAGGCCTTTTGTTCGTTTAATCCGATTTTATGTTTGAACGACCGAGAGGTAAGTAATTAAGAAACCGTTAGTAATTTCCAAATTCAAACTTTGATGTTCCAATTATCTCTGAAAAGTTTATTCAACTCAATTGCAACGTAAAAAGAGTGAGTGAATCAAAGTTATTAAATCTGTTGCAGGTAGCTCTACATATTATATAATATATAAAAATGGTTATATTCCTAATTTATTTATTTATTCTTTATAGTACACAATAAAAATAAATAATATGTAATTATACGGTATACCTAATACCCAAAATAGTTTAGTGATTTTTTGACAACATGAGACTACAGTGTGCGAAACGAATATAATGTCCGTCCGTCCGTCGTGTCCTTTAGATACTTTTACACTTGTATGCATAAAATGTCATATTATGTGGTAAGTATTTATTCTGCTTGTATCCACATTTCAGTCGGACAGTCTGTAGCAAAACATGTGTGTAAAAGAATATGAAACAAAGTAAAAAAAAAATAGACTTAAAACGTGCTCCCTTGTATTTTTGGTAGATTTTATGGCAAATATGGTAGAAATTTAAAAATCTAATAAAACACAATGCAAAGGTAGGCAAATTTTGATCCCACGATATTTAATACGGAAAATGTAAATCTACCAAAATACAATAAAAAACGTTTAATTTTTTTTGTAATTGTATCTAATGGCCATAAACCCTGCTACCAGCCATTTCAGGTTTATCCACTTAGTACTGGATATACTGTATACATTAAATACGATAACTCCGATACTGCAAAATTACGTGCTAGCTCTGGGTGTAAGCGCTTGCAATAAAATGTCATAGTAAACGAGCAAATACCTGCGAGCGCGTGTTGATTTCCCACGTGCTCGGCGGTGAAGCAAAACGTTAAAAGAAACCTGCATAATTGATAAATTTAAAATATTTCGAGGCTATGATTTTTTTTAAGAATCAGGGTGAAAGTAAAGGCGCGCACAGTCCATTTGATGTTGAGTGGATGCTGTGGTCCAATACAATAAATGCAGATTGTCACCCCTGAGGCCTAAGATGAAATGCCTCGTTTTTAGTAAAAAGGTTCTCTAATTCTCTACACTTACCATACCAAACACAGCAGCGTTAAGTTGCTATTTTACGATGGTATTCTGTGTGAGCGTGGTCTTTCCCTGGTCGAGCGGAACATTCGTGCTACAGCTGAAGCATAGCTCTAGCGTTTTTTTTTATAGGATAAGGGTGACAAACGAGCACACAGTCCACCTGATGGTAAGTGGTTGCTGCGGCTCATAGACATCTACATCTATCCTCTATTATAAATCAAAATGCAGATGTGTTGTCACCCGTGAAGTCTAAGATGAAATGCCTCATTTCCAGTAAAAAGGGCCTCCGGCCACCTGCACTCACCAAGCGAAACGCAGAGGTAAACCTCTACTTCACGCTGGTATTCTGTGAGGTCGTGGTACCACCCCGGTTCGAGCCGGCCCATCCGTGCGACAGCAAAAGCTGCCGCGTGGCTCTACCACTGTTTAAAAAGTTGTAAACTATATCAACACGTATTGAGGCAGCGTAGATTATTCCCTGCTTAGAAGTCCTATTAAAAATGGAAGAAAACCTGGGTCCAGTCGTGGGACGTACATAGGCGTTTAATTCACTTTTACTTTTTTAATCGTACTTCAAAAAGGAGGAGGTTCTCAATTCGAGTGTATGTTTTCTTTTCTATTTTTTTTTTGTATGTAAGTTACGTGATATCTTCGTAGATTGTGAACCGATTTTAATGATTCTTCTTTTATAAATTTTTCTTAATTTATACTTCTAGGGTGGTTCCATATAAATTTGGAGAAAAATTCCACCCCTAAGGTAAACAACCCTAAATAACTTCTTTTTTTAGCAATTTGAAGTCAGTTTTTACTTTTTGAAGTTATGCTTCTTTTGGGGCGTTTGGGAAAAATTATGAGAGTGAATTTTTTACGATGCGCGCGCACACTGACATCTAAAAGCGACAACTTCTGTGTGTAATTGTCTCTAAAGTTTTTTTGTTTAGTTACACTGAAGAAGTATAACTTCCTATGTGCGTACATAAGTACACACACACACACACACACACACACTTTTTTGTTAAAACTTATAATTATTACTGTCAACGACGCAAAGTTGTAGACATCATAAGCAGATTTCTTTGGATATTTACGAGTGAGAATTGTCCGTAAAAAGTAAACAATAACAAGATTCATGTGAGATTTTTTACATTTCAATCCATAATTATGTCTTTAATATTATAGGATGAAGGAAGTAAAGAAACTGTGGGAAACCGGAAAGATGTGAATACTGGCACAATGAAATAGAAAAAAAAATGTGAGGCCTGGTTGTTAGAACGGATTTGCGTTCGACAAAGACATAAATGCACGTGCTATTTTTTTATCCGCGGGAAAGAGAACGTAGGAAGCAGGTTATATTTAAAAAAATACTTTATTTATTATGTATAAAGAGTTACCAAGTTTTAAAAGAAAATTATAATGTTCTCCTGGCTTTTCTATGGCGTCAACTGGATGAATGAATAAACATAAGATAGTGTATCTATTGTGCCTAATACTCTTGAAATACAGATTCATCTTTCCTCATATACAGGTTTATCCTAGTTGAGGTACGTATTATTATAAACTTCTTTTAGATTAAGGGTTTGTTTGAATAATTGTACAGTTTATTGAAATAAAAATTAATTGTTTCAAGAAGTACCTATTAAATCTCGCGCGACAAAATCGTGTCTAAAATATGTTATTTTGTCCAACCAAAGAGGATTGTTAAGCATATTAGACCTAAAGCTAAAAAGATCTTATCGGCATTTATCATGAGTTATGTTTGTAGCACGGATGGGTTGGCACGACCAGTGAAGGACCACTCTCTCACAGAATACCAGCGTAAAATAGCAGCTTAATGTTGCTGTGTTTTGTATGTTGAGTGTAGAGATTGTGAGACCCTTTTTACTGGAAACGAGGTATTCTATCTCAGTCCTCAATGGTGACAACGCATGCATTTTGATTCTTAATCGTGGATACATGTAGATGTCTATGGGCCACAGCATCCATTTACCATCAGGTGGCCTGTGTGCTCGTTTGTCACCCAAAAGAAACCTATGAGATGAAAAGCGGTTACTGATTCTGTTTACGACCACACGGTTTATTATTATAATTATAATATGAGGAATGCTTACTTGACCAGCAGTATCACAGATTTCCACGCAGACCGGCCTGTCGTCCACGTCTACCACAACTGAAACAATTAACAGAAATATAAACTTTGAGAGGTACTTATAAAATAAATTACTTAAGTATTAAATAAAAAATGTACTTCATTATTTTTTTATTGCTTTTAAAGGGTCTAATCTTTGTTCGAAGCGTTTGTTTTAGATCAAAATTATAGTCTTTGATATGTATGTTTACCAAATATTCGGGAAACGGTAGGACCGATTTAAATAATTCTTTCCTCAACGATGGTCTCATTTAAGATTAAGGAAAATAATTCACCACTATGGGTATGAAATTGTTATTGTTCAGTTGTTACTTTGAGCTTGTGATGTCTACTGAAAAGGTTAAAAAATTTAAACTTCATTAAAACTATTTATTAAAATAAAAACCGACTTCAAAAATTTGCATGTAGAAAATCTGTATAACTATAGGCATTCCATCACCATACCGATGACAACATTAGAACTTTTTTCAATTTTTGAAGTTGATTCTTATATTTTATTAAAAAAATATGCGTGAGTGTCGTGGAACACTCGGTGGAACGAAGTTCCTTTCGTAGTATATTATTATCATTGATAAACGTATTATATTATTAACAAATATAAATAAATTCCTAGCGCCTATTAAAATGAAGCGTCATATAAAATCCATAATAAGAAAAAGTGTGAGGGAGATGGATATTATTCCATCTCGCTCGCTCTATAGAAAGGGGGTCGTGACAGAAAATTCTTACACTTTTTCTCGCCTAGCTAGCCCCCATCCGCCAAATTCGTACCGTACAACAAGGAACTTCGTTCCAAAAATATTCTGTATGTAATCATTCCCTTTTCTTTTCATGTTATTTATAGGAAAGCAGGTAGCATTTGACTCGATCGCGTATTGCCAAATTAACAGTGAAATTTTTATTTTTAGGGTTCCGTACCTCAAAAGGAAAAAACGGAACCCTTATAGGATCACTTTTTGTCCGTCTGTCTGTCTGTCAATACCCTTTTTCTTAGGAACGCGTATCAAGCTGAAATTCATATCAAATACTCAAGTCTACTGTCCCTTGGAGCTGTGAAAAAAACAAACTTCTAAGCCAAAGCAATCAAAAGGTACAGCCGTTTATGCAGCAAATTTTCGACATTCGCAAGGGAATCAAAACCTACAGGGTACTTCCCGTGGACTCAGAATCTTAAAATTTGGTACGAAGCAACGTATTATATCACAGATAAAGAAAAAATTGCGAAAAGCATAAATTTTTATTTACATCATATAATAAAAATATTTTTAATAATTTTAAACTTATATACCTACGAATTTGTTCGGAACCCTCGGTGCGCGAGTCCGACTCTTACTTGGCCAGTTTTTTAAATAAAAATATAACATATCTAAATATATTCATTAAATACTAAATATAAAATAACGAAAACAAAATATACCAATATATTTATATTATAAAAGAAAAAATAAAAAATCTATTAACAAAGACATAGGAAAATATTCTAAATAATGATATTAGATCGAGAAGAAGAAAGAAGAAAAGCCCAACCAAAGAGGTGATCATCATCATCATCATTACAGCCCTTTACAAGTCCACTGCTGAACATAGGCCTCCCCCAAAGAATGCCACAAAGCACGGTCCTGAGCCACCTGCATCCATCGACTTCCTGCATGTCTTACCAGGTCGTCACTCCATCTCGTGGGAGGACGCCCTACACTTCGCCTACCGGTACGAGGCTGCCACTCGAGAACCTTAAGGTTCTCGAGTGGCAGCCTCTGAAGAGGTGATGTTCATAATAAAATTGGTAAAGTTCATATTATATAGCATAATATACAACATTACTAACATATACAAAATAGTTTCAGAGGTAGTAGTAAACCTACAGACAGACACAGAGGATTTTATGTTTTTTGTCATTTAAGCTTTACCACTGATTTGGAAAAACATATCTGTCCTGGGAAGAACCAGCAAGAAACCAATCGGGACTTTTTTAAAATATTTATTTACAATATAATATTTTATGCTATTAAGTATGAAAACATTGAGCATAGTAGCGATCCTACTCTTTAGTAGTATATTATCCCTTCTTAAACAGTTTATTTGGGTAGCCTTTTAAGCTTTGGCGGAAGAGCCTAGCAAATAAAAGAGACTAACGTATCTATATGTAACTGTGTTTCTGTCTTACAATTAGTGTGAGAAAATATAATTACACGTATCCTTTACATTTCTTCCGTTATTTATCAAGCATTTCACAATAAGCACTCATTACAAATAAATTCCGTTATAGTCGATACAAGTAATTCCAAAGAATGTGGTCCAGAAACAAACGAGTTATTTTCAAGTTCCGACGCTTGTATTAACATAGTTCTCTATTATCACTAATGCCGAGGAATTTAATCTCAGAGTAATCAGTATAATTAAACTAGAAAACACAGCCTTAAACATTGGGAACTCTTTATCACAACCACCCAAGAAAACGTTTAAATTTTTTAATTGGCTTTAGAAAATTACGTGAGCCGTGGTAGCTCAGGGCCTAAGCGCGCTGTAAATTTCACAGTATTCGAACAACCCGGGTTCGATCCCCGCCGGCACCAATGAAATTGTTAATTGCATTTTTATGTGCTGATCTACCACGTGCTCGGCAGCGAAGGAAAACATCGTGAGGAAACCTGCATGTTTGAATAATAAGAAAAAACAATACTTCGACAAGACACATTGGTGCAGCGCGGCGGTCATTTCCTTGCCCTATAACAATCTCAGAAATGAGAGGAGACCTGTGCCCAGCAGTGGGACGTATATATGGTTTCCAAATTAACGGTGTCCAATATTTTAAACTTGGGGATGTTATAAGGGCCCGTTCATAAAATACGTTTGCAAACAAACAGGAAGGGCTGTTCATTAATTTCGAAGTTTTTTTTTAATTTTCATTTTATATATTCATATCTGTGTATATGTTATGGACCAAGTGATTAATAGGGCATTATTCATAATGTCTAGACAATTTGAAAAATGGCCAATATGAGTATGCAATATGATAAAAACTATTGATTTAATTAAATTGACCGGGCTTTATGAATAAACACCGTTACTTAATATAGCAGAGTAATGTAAGGATATTTAACAATTAAACACAATGGGATTAAAGTTTTTCATCAAAGGTATTTTTTTCTTTGTATAGCAAAGGAAGGACTACTATTTGATACTGTAATGTGATTTTTCCCTTCCCTCGCATTTATACATATGTAGTCAGATTTGGTACATTAATAGCTTATTGTGATAAAAGTGATTAACATGGTTAGCTTTGGTCAGGTTAGGTTATATCAAAAAGCGCAACAGTTACGTAGCAATATTCATTATGACCAGACAATATGATCAATGATGAAGCTTAAATTAGTATTAATTACATAGCCCGATTTGACTTGTCATTATTTATATTGCCGTACATATGTAATGTGGTAACAATAGCTAGTTATTATATATATATATATATATATATATATATATATATATATATATATATATATATATATATATATACATACATATATATATATATAAATATATATATATATGTATATATATATATATATATATATATATTTGCGGACTATTTATGATATGCACTGTTGTTTAATGGTTTGATATTGCGCCAAAAAAATTGTTGGTTACAATTTTAAGTGCTCATTTATCACTTGGTTTCTGGTAAAGAAAATACTTCATAATGTCTAAATAATAAAATATTCCAAAGAAATATAAAGTACCAACACGGACTGGAGCAACTGCTCCATAAACTGAAATTAGAGGAAGAAACTAAAATTTCTAGACTGAAAATTACCAGGAGAGGACGGGCGTCCAAAAATTGGTTCCTACTTTGATGGTCCATCCGCTCTAAAGGCAATCGAAGCGATACCAATTCATGTAAAACATCAACCTACTATTTATTGGTGATAAGTTTTTGTTACAAAAAAAACTTTGTGTAAATTAATTTTGTTTTTCATTTGTTATATTTCATTACTTCTGAAAAAAAAACTCGTTCATGAACCATAAATTACTTAATATTTACGTTTTAGTTTGGCAGAAAAAAATAAGTTTATGTTATGGCGCCTACAATGTAAATGTTAAATTAAAAAGAAAAGTTAATTATTTCACAGGAGGGATTGTAGAATTTCAATACTGTTCAAAAATAATTAGTCCTCGGTAATCATAATGTGGCATGCTCCACAGGCACGACAGGGGTTTGAACTTAGAGTACTTTGTATACTCTCTCTAACAAAATCCCTGAAAATATACAAAATTTAATCTGCACAAAGTTCAAAAACTTCATTAAACAAAGTTTGTATAAAAAGGGATATTATAATATTAATGAATTTATGGATGATAATAACCGCTGGGAATGAGGTGATCGCTACCAATCTATTTCTAATTTATTTTGTGTGGTTAATTGTTAATTACATGATTGTAAGCTGTTATTAAAAAAAAAGTCCCGTTTCTTGCTGGATCTTTCCACGACAGAGGTTTTTTTTCGAACCAGTGGTAACTAAACAAAAGAGTGACTTTCAATAAGTATTATTTATAATCCATATTGAATAAAAAAGTTTCTGTTTTTGTTTCAAAGGTCTATGGATTCGAAACTTGATGCTCTTTCTTATTTCAATGATAAAAAAGATATTATTACTTATTAAAACAGTATATTTATAACGTTTGTTTTTGATTATGGTCATCATTAAAACACACTTTACGCAACATAAAAGGAATGTCCACGATTCTATTTCGTTAATCGCAAATTATTATTCACTGTGCGTTGAGCAGTCCCTTTAGGTTCGACGATATATGGTATTGGCATTTGAAGGTGATATTCTGTATATCGAACACATAATAATACAATGTAATATTTTCCTGACAAACAACAAAAGTGTAATTAAAATATAATTCCGATAAATAAAGCAAGTTGTACCGTGTATTGACGGTGTAAGAATATCCATTACGCCATATCATCCCGTGGGTGTCGTAAGAGGCGACAGAGAGAAACAAATCAGAAGATG